ACAGGCATGCATCACAGCTGCCCAACTTAGTGGTAGTTCTCTTAATTCTGCCCTATCTATTGTATGTCTCAGAGCTATTCAAAGTTCCTGGGAGCACAGAACAAACCACTCTAGGTGAATGCTTGTTGTAGAGGCTTCTCATTGCATCCATACTCTTTATTTCTTCATTATGCTTCAGACAATGTATGTTATTCTCACATAAATATATTCTCTTGAATATTTAAAAATATGAGCCAAGAGAGATTAAAATGTCTGCACAGTTCTTTTGAAAGAAAAAAAGGAGAAAGGAAAAAAAAGGGAAGAAAAGGAAGAAAAAAAGAAAAATCTTTGAATCACTCTGGAGGAAAAAATACACCATTATTTATTTTAAAAGAGTTCTCAGTTTGTATATATACACATATAGGAACACAAAATAAAATGGCTTTATTTTTATTTTGTTCAGTGGTGTTAGGTGGGCCTTGTACATGCTTACCAGGTGCCCTACTGCACTATACCACAAGCCTCTAGGTATTAAAATGCAATCATTAATTGTGATATTTATGAATTATTGTTGTATAGTAATGTCTTGCTGTGACATAGAAATATTGGTTTAAAATATATTGTATCCAGCAACTTCTTCATTTCTTTAAGGATTCTATGATTCTGTATTCAGATTCTTTTGTATCTACTTACTAAGACATGTTATTTATAAAGAACCATTTCTTTCTAATTCGTATTTCTTTTGTATTAGGTTGGGAGGAAACACTTATTACAATTGCTAGCACCTCTAAATATAGTGATAAGTAGGTATCTTTCAACATTTTACTACTAGGGTGTTATTTGCTGTATCTTCTTTAATCTGAAAAAATTCAAAGCTTTCTTTACTATGAATGTGTTTTGAATTTTCCATATTTATTGAAATAACAAAATATCTGTTAATGATTCACATTGATTTATATTTAAATGTTAAAAACCCAATCAATCTCTTATTTCTAATGTAAACTTTACTTGGTCATAAGAAGTCTGATTAGATGCATGAACATTTTATTCATTTTTTCATCTATATTAACAAGAGATAGAAGTTTGGTTTCCTTTCTTCCTATTTTTTTCCTTATTCATCAATAAAATCTATCCAGGATTTTTATTTGTGGGGAGGTTTTTGGTTAAATATTCAATTTTGTAATAGATACAATGCTTTTTAAGTTTCCATTTCTTGTATTGGTTTTCACAGATTGTGCAGAAGTTTTCTTAGATTTGTCATTCACTTAGATTTTTTGGCAGTTTGACATGAAGTTAGTTTTTTAAGAAAGTAATTTTGCTTTGTTGATTCTCTATTGAAAAATAATTTCTTTTGTGAAATCTTCCTTAATAAAGTAACTATTAAGAAGGATGTTGACCAACACTGAGTTTTCCCTAGTTGTGTCTGTTAGTGATTTCTAGCATAATTCTACAATGTGATCTGTAACACTGTTTAGTATCTTTGTGGTAGAAGGCTTGTATTTTTTTCCTTAATCTTTTGTAAGTTACAATATATATATATATATATATGTATGTACATTTGTATATATAAGCACCAATGTATATTAGATTATGCAGGAAAATACCACTATCTCAAGTAGCTACAATATTTTCTAAACACTGAATTTCTTAATGTACCTGACTATGATCCATTGACCATCATATGCTAGCATTAGTCCATGGAACATACTTCAAGTAGCATTGCTTATTATGATTTTAATCACTGAAATTTGTTGAGACTTGATTTATAGTCCTACTAGTTGGTCAGTTTCAGTGAGTATTCTATATGCAGTTTAAGAGAAGGTATATTTAGCACTTGCAAGGTTTAATGTTTAATGTAGTGTCAATTACAATTGAGGTTGCTCGTTATTTAATTTTTTGTTTTTCCTGTTTTTCTCTTAAATTGTTCAATAAATTACTGAGAAAAGCATATTAAATTCTCCTACTGTGTGGATGTGTATGGTTTTTTTCCCTTTTGATTCTTTCATTGTTTTCTTCATAAATTGTGAGGCTAAGTTATTAGGTATATTCAAATTTATATTTGCTTGTCTTACCAGTGGACTGACTGTGAACTACTATGAAATACTATTTTCACTTTCCCAAACTGTTTCTCATCTTATAATTTGTATAGCAATGCCATCATTTTTAAATTTGTGTATATTTTTCATTACTTAAAAATAGTCTTTAACCAACAGGTAGTTTAATTTTTTATAATGTGATCATTTACATAGAATAAAATACATCCATTTAAATGTAGAGTTAGATGAATTCTGATGCATCCTTGTGGCCACTAATGTAAGATATAACCATTTCCATCCATTCCCAAAAGGTTCTTTGGTGGTACTTCCCTGCAGATCCCTTTTCACAGTTTGGCCAATCATTGCCTCTGCTTTGTATCACTACAGATTAAATGTGTCTTTTCTAGAGTTTCATGAAAGTGGAATTGTGTAATATATACTATTTGGTGTATAATTTCCATAGGAGAAAATGCAGTTCAGAATGTTGGGTTCACATATGTACTTCCCTTATCTCCAGGATCTCGGCTAGAAAATCTGGAAGACTTGGTAGCCAGTGTATCATACTGCTCTTTGTATTTTATTCACCTCTCATGGTTGATGTCAGTAGAGTATGTCCTATAAATAATAACTCAAGGTAGCTAGAAACAGAATTCTGGCGATGTAGAGTAGAAGCACAGATGTACAAAAATACTTAAAGTTGAGTATTCAAAGTAAGTAGAATTCAGTGGACACCTCCAGAAAACAAAAAGGGTCTCAAAAATACAAGAGCATATTGTTTCCAGTAAGTACAGGATACTCATCCAGTATTGTACTGTCAGGATTCATCTCCACAAACTAGCATTTTAAAGCAAGGATGCAGTTAGTAGATGGATGGAAGGCCTGAAGGAGTAAATTCTACACTCGATCTGCAAGAGTGGCAGTGCCAACAGTTACAGAACTGTGCAGTCAGGGAAGCTTCTGCCTTATAGACCAGCACTACAACTGTGTGAGAAGCACACATTCTGACACCATTGTGCTTCACTTTTACATGCTAGCAGCAATAATCAAAAAGAAAATCTCAGCCTGCCAAGACTCACAAGAGTACTTCTAACTGATGGAAGCTAATTTGAATAAAAAAATAAGTGAAGGGAATATAGGAATTCAGTTTTTGTCTCAGAAACTTTTCCAAGTATTAGGAGATTGATTGGAAATTATGGCAGCCAATCCAAACTTTCTACCATGTACATAAATTGAAAATGTAGTACCCTTTTGACTTAAAGAGAATGAGTGGTAAAAAAAATTCAATGGTAATCTGAATAAATTTCTCCTTTTTTCCTCTAATAGTGCATCAATAAATATGTTTAATAAGACTCAATCTTCCATGCCTTTGATCTTTCACCAACTGGTAAATGAGAATAAGATAGCCTATGACTTAAATACCCAGAATGCATATTCATCGATTTAAGTTTATGTTTGAGTACAATTAGTATTTTATTATTTTGTTCAACACAGAAAATGCCTAACATCTTGATAACTCTAAAAATATGAACAGCATCCAGGATTAACATGACCTATTCCAAGGTCATTTTAAGAGGAAATCATGAAATTAACTTACTTTATAACCATGTGGGCTATGAGCTTTTGTTGTAATTCTTATCTTGTATTCAAGGACACTGATACATACCTTAAGTGCTTATAATAATTCAGATCTTGGAAAATGTCAAATGTTTTCCTCAAGGGCAAAGAGCTAAATATAGCTTCCTCTATCAGTGCTCTTTCTTCTACAATCCCTATTGGTTCTTCTGTTTTTCCTGCTTTCCTCTTCCTTCATCAGATAGATGGGTTGTATGATATCAATAAAAGGTCTGAATAAGGTTGGGACAGTTTACAAAATTCTAGCTCTGTGTTTCTTTGGTCTGTTACTGAGCCCTTATGAGCTTTTCAGTAGCTATAGATGGTTTGCACTTAAAGAGAGAATATAAAATAAAAGCAAACACAAAGAGACTGGTGACCTGTAATATGATTGTTTGTGTAAGCATCAAACAATGACAATATTTAGGGCTAGAAGACAGAAGGATATGATGTTTAAATAGCTTTAATGTGACAGTTTGGGGCTAGTATTTTTGAATGTGGAGTAGATACTGGTTGTGATTTATAATGATCCTGCATTTGAAATTCCCCTCAATGTTCCTCTTACTGTTTGCAGTAGAAAGAATTCATTGCAAAGAACTCTTAAAAAGAACTGACTTAATTTTCCTTTAGAACACTAAATCCAAAATGACACTATAAATATTCTTATAAGGTCATTTCAGAGAATGGAGAATTTCCTCTGATATTTTTGCTATCCCTCTTTTATTAATATTCATTAATTCATCTATATCAGTGTAACATTATATTATTGTATAATTGCCTTTTTAAACACATATATTTCTTTTTGTGAAATTGCAAGACTTTTAAAAAAGCCTTTCAGAGACTCCTTGCATTGATTTACCTTCCTATTAAAGATTTGATTATACCTTGTTCTTAAAGCCATAGACTAAAAAAACCAAAACCTTGTTACTTTGTTTACCTAACTATCCACCTCATATCAGGAAACTCTGTGGTCAGATGTCTGATTGGGCGCCCCAAAGGTGGTGATATATCAGACCTATAATCCCAGCATTTGGGAATAGAGACAGGAGGATTATGAGAGCCCAGCCTATGCTGGAGATCATGTCTTTAAAAAAGAAAAGACAAAGTCTGAATGTTGAGTGGTTTTCAGATTATTCTTGATCAAGTGTCTTACTGCTTTCCTAGATGGATTGTTTGGATTTCCCAGTTTGGAAATCTCTAATATTCAGTTAAAGAAATTTATGTGCTTTGGTTCCTAACAAGTATATAGACTTATTTGTCAGAGGATAAATGTGTGGGAGAACCAGAATTATAATTTTTTTTCCTATACCGAGTACATAATAAGATGTTAGTAATGAAGGGTGTTAACCTATGTATTTTTCTTTGTCCTCTTAGGTGGATCTCCATACTTAGCAACCAAAATAAATGAAGCCAAAGACTTGTTAGAAGCAACCTCCAAACATTGATTGATGTTCAAGGATTACACCAAAGGGGGAAATGTGGGACTTCTAAACCGTGGTGTTAATTTCCACTCCCATATTGACTATAATCTTTTCTTCCATCTTTAAGATAAGTAGCAATAAAAGATTAGTTGCCTTGCTTTTTAAATTTCAAAGAAGCATGTATGTTTTATAGCTGATATTTTCCCTTATTTTCTGTGTGATATTAATACTTTAAAAGATTCCTTGATAATATTAGTCCTCAAATTGCCCACTGTCTACACACCCAGACTCACATACTCATTCTGACCATCATGAGTACAACTAGGATTTGTGGGTGATGAGCAGACATTTTCTTGCTGCTTATATTTGTACCCTCATTATCCCTTGTTAAAAAATTTGAGGTTCTGCCTATTTAAGGTGCTTTAGATGATTTGAAAGCAAACAGTGGCTGCCACCTCATGGGAAAATATTTGAAATATAATTTACTAAGTGGTGATTTGTAAAGTAATGGTTAGGACTTGTTAAAGAATTCTGCTCTCCTTGAGACCCTATAGCTAAAGCATGAGAACTTAGAGAGCCACTAAAATGATTAAAGATTTACCAAATGAGCCCTATGAGGAAAGACTGAAAAAAGCTAGGAGAAATCTGAGGAGTATATATTTAATGATAGTCTTCCTGTGATTTATATTTATTAAATTATTTATTCTGCAAATATTTATTGACCACATATGATGTGTAAAGCTCTATAGTGGGTCCTCAGAGAGTTACAAGTGTGAACTACTCATGGATCCTGTCACCCTGAAGAATTTATAGAGAGAGAAAAAGGATAAATCATATAATAATGATTATTATTAGGGGAGGCTCAGATGATACGTACAAGTTCAAAAGAAGAAAAAAAACATTGTAAAGCTCAGCTCATTGGGTGGCTTCATGGGAAAATGGCTTTTAAAATTAATAAAAACCTAGCAAGCATAAAGTCCTGAGTTAAAACCCAGAAATGTACAAAAACATACACCAAAAAATACTACCTTTCTATTATATGATCTTAGCCAGTTACTTAATTTGCAAGTCTGTAACCCTCATTTACAGAGAAAATAATCCTACCTAATAAGGTGTTATAAGGAATAAGAAAGTGAAAACCATTTAGTCATATAGTCAGATGTTCAGAAAATAAATTATTCTTTCACTGCCCTGTTTATTTATTTTAAGAATGCCTTGGATTAAAGTTTCTTGTACTCTTCAGTCTGTAGTTTGGGTAAAACATGAAGGAGATATCTCAACCTTATTCTCCTCAGCGCCCACGGAGACTGGGGTAATCACAACATGTCTGCAAGGTGGTGCAACTGGTTGTTGGTTAGAAGCTCAGTTTCTCTCTGCACAGGCTTCTCCACAGGGCTGCTGGAACAGCCTTAGTAGCCACTGAAATAGCTATCCAAGAAATAGGAAGTTTATGTAGGTCTAGAACCTATTAGGGCATTACTTTTGCATATATAGCTGGCCTAAGAGTTACAGAGCCTGCCTGTTTAACAAAGGGAAATGATTGCCAAATCAAATCACTTAAGATACTAAATTTAAGAAAAAAAAATTAGCCATGGTGGGCATAGGGTCCACATCTGCAATCCGTCATGGGAAGCTTAGGCTAGCCTGGTGATTTAGCAAGACCTTGTCTCAAATTTAACCTTCAGAAGGGCTGGGGATGTATCTCAGTGATAGAATGCTTGCTTAGCACATACAGTGCCCTGGGTTCAGTCTTCAGTACTGCAAAAATAAGTCATGTATAATTTAGCTACAAGTACTTGAAGTATAAGTTCAGAAAGTTTCAGATGACAGGACTATTTGGGGCAGATATTAATTTAGTAATTCCTTAAATGGCAGTATCGTTATAAAATTGGATTCTGACCAAGTATCCACCCTTCTTATTATCTATAAAAAGCTTATTTGAATGGTTACCTGTCCTCGGGAAAGATTGCTTTTACATATTTGCCATCCTTGCATATTCTGCTTAATTAGCTCTGTTGAAACTGCAGTTTCTGTGTAATCTCACATTTTAGTCTGAGGATACAGGAAAGGCCTTTTAAAAACAGTGACTTTACAGAGAAAATAAAAGAGCTGGGTGCCAGTGGCTCATATCTGTAATCCTAGCTACTCAGGAGGCTGAGATCTGAGGATAATTATAGTTCAAAGACAGTTTGTGGAGGAAAGTCTGTGTGACTCTTATCTCCACTAAATTATAAAAAAAAAAAAAAAGCCAGAAGTAGAGGTATGGCTTAAGTAGAAGAGCACTACCCTTGAACAAAATAAGCTTAGGGTCAGTATCCAGGCCCTGAGTTCAAGCCCCAGGACTGGCCACACACAGAAAGAAAGGTGTGTTACTTGGTTACCCAGCAGAGCCATTAGAAATGACAAACTCTATGTGCAGAAATATTTTGGTTGTCATGGGTAACCTTGAACATAGAAAAATTTTTAGTGACTTTAAACACATTTTGGAACTAGCTTAAGAGAATTAGATGACATTCGTGGGAGGAAATGAATCAGCTAGGCCTTTAATGTAAAAAATATGACGTTTCTCTGACTCAGTCAGGATGAGCTACAGAGACAGCAGTTCCTAGGAAGTTAAATATCCAGGTCAGCTGCCTCATCTCACACAGTGAAAACCACATGTGTCCCCAGGCACTGTCCCTTTCCTGGCTGCTGCTCTGTAACATGAGCCTCTAGCTACAAGAGGACCAGAGGAGAGTAAGGAAACTCAGCCATTTCCTCCTTCCTTCTAATGGAAAAGCAACTCAAAGAGCAAATCCTATTAACACAAGATCAGTGTCATCTTCTTGTCAAAAACCATTTGTGAGTTATGAACCAAATTTTTATCTATAGTAGAATTTTATATACGTTAGGAAATTAGAAATTTTGTTAGCATAATTTATGAGCTCAAAAAGTTGAGAAGGTTCTCTGGACCCAGTTTTTTATAGATGAAATCTAAGTGATCTGGATCATTGCCTACCAGCAAAATTGCTAAGGCATGGTAGACAAAGAAAATGTTCCCTCTAATGATTTTTATGAGCTGAGTAGCTATTGTTCCCAACTGAGTGCTCCTTTCCTCTTTTCATTGTTGCTGAGCAAAAGAATTTATAAAAAGCTCTTAAACAAAAAAAAAAACCCTGCACAGTTGAAATGCAAGTTCATTATGTAGTGTTCATTTCTCTTCCTGCCATAATAACCCTTCCTCTGGTCTATGCAAAAATGTCTGGCATCACCACCTAATATCTTGAGTCTGAACAGATCATTTTATAGATATAGAAATATAGATATGCAATCTCCAATATTTACATGGCGTTTAATTTCAAATGGGCAGAATACAATCATTCAGGCTACGTGTTGGTCCTATATTTCAAATTAGTACCTCAATTTCTAAGGGGAAAATGCTTCCTGGAAAATTAAATCAACAGGTTGAAATACTAATTTATTAATATTAGGTAAGGGCTGGGAAGGTGGCTCAGTGGTAGAGCGCTTGCCTTGCATGCATGAGGCCCTGGGTTTGATTCCTCAGTACCACATAATCAAAAAATTAAAAAGCCGGAAGTGGCGCTGTGGTTCAAGTGGTAGAGTTCTAGCATTGAGCTGAAGAGCTGAGGGATAGCACCCAGGCCCAGAGTTCAGGCCCCATGACCAGACCCCCCCGAAAAAAATATTAGCTAAGTTATAATATTCTAAATGCCAAGAAACTACACAGTTAATTTTCATAAACTCAATACTTGAATAATAACTCATTTTTGTTGAGTAGCTGGACCAAACTTTCTATGTACATTAGCTCCTAATTTTCATAGCTAACTAAATAGATGACTACACTATTTGAAATGAACCTTTTTGAATATACGTGCCTTTGTAAAAAAAAAAAAACAAAAAAAAAACGGGCACAGAGTTTAGGAACTTTTCTAAGATTGCAGCTTTTGGAGTGGTATGAACAGGATCCACAGTGTTTCATTTGAATACAGGCTCCTTACCTATCGGTTATATTGCACTAATGCTGTGTATGGGAAGCAGTAAGTGAAAGGGGCTTAAATGGCTTCTGGCTCCTTCTCTGATGCTTCTGACCTTGGGACATAAATGGAATATAACCTCATGGAAGGATCTAGTGTCTTGTGCATCACAAACAAAGGCTAATGTCTAATTCTGGCCTGAAAACATGTGACATTCCTCTGGGTATACATAACCATAAAGTTTGGTAGTATAGATAGCTGTGACTTGGCTAGAGGAAGCTCTGGTGAGAATTTAATTGAAATATTCACAGTGAATGCATTTAAGGAGAATATCTAGAGCAGGGTTCAGAAGAGAGCTCATAAGAGGGAAGCCACTGACTGAGAAAGAAATGAAGAAGTAGTTCAATATGTTAACAGTGAAAACAAGAAGACAGGTGACACACCATATAGCCAATGAAAGAAACTATGGCTAAAGAGTACAACTGAGGGGCTGGGAATGTGGCTTAGTGATGAGTGCTTGCCTAGCATGCATGAAGCCCTAAGTTTGATGCCTCAGTACCACATACACAGAAAATCCAGGAAGTGGTGCTGTGGCTCAAGTTGGTAGGATGTTAGCATTCGGCAAAAGAAACTCAGGGACAGTACCCAGGCCCTGAGTTCAAGCTCCAGGACTGGAAAAAAAAAAGTACAACTGAAACAAGATATAAAGATATACTCTCAACAATCAAAAAGAAGTAACTTTACAGGCATTATTGTTATTTATAGTACTGGGGTTTGAACTCAGGGCCTGGTGCTTACTAGACTGGAGCTGTACCACTTGGTCCACACCTCTAGCCTGTCTTTTTGCCTGTTATTTTGGCCATGAAATCTAGCAAACTTTTCTGCCTGGGCTAGCATTGCACCTGGATACTGCAGATCTTAGCCTCTTGAGTAGCTGGGATTAAAAGTGTGAGCTACCAGCCCCTGGCCTTTAGAAGAACTTGTTGAAATTGTTTCTACCTGGAGATATAACTGAGTAGTAGAGGCCCTGGCCTAGAATGCACAAGATGTGAGTTTGCGATCACCAACACCACACACAAAATAGATTAAAAATTGTTTTGCATTATTACTAATTGTAGACTAGATTATTTGTCCATGATGTACTTTTATCACAAACTCAAAATTTGCACAATTCCATGATTGTCTAGTGGAATTGATGC